AAGGACAGCAGCAGCAGCACAGCTCAAACCGAGAACGAAGAAAAAGAAAAAGAAAAGCAGCAACCAGCAGAAGACAGCATGGCCACTGATTGAGAACTCTGCTGCTCGTGCTGCAGCAGCAGCAGCAGCAGCAGCAGCAGCAACAGCAGCAGCTGTAGTTGTAGCGATTTCATACGAGGGGTACGGCGTTACTGTTCCATCGAGGGTTTAGGGTTTAGGGTTTGTTTAGGGTTTAGGGCTTGTCTAGGGTTTAGTGGCCTCAGTAAGAGACTGACAGCTACAAGCAGCAGCAGCAGCAGCAGCAGCAGCAGCAGCAACAGCAGCAGCAGCAAGAGGCAGAAGAACGCAGAAGTTTCTTTATATTTAAAATAAAAAGAAGAAAATAAAAAGTTTTATTTAAATAACAAACAATTATATTGTTCGTGTAAACAAACACTTGGGGTGTATAGGCACCTCTTGGGGTGTATAGGCAGCTCCTGGCTGCTGCATATATTTATATATATCCCTTTGTCTCTCAGAATAACAAAAATAATAAATATTTTTGTTATTCTAACAATAATAATAATAAATATTAATATTATTATTATTATTTTCGTTTTAAAACGTAAATATTCCTGCTGCTGCTCCCGCTGCTGCTGCTGCTGTTGCTGCTGCTGCTGCTGCTGCTGCTGCTGCTGCTGCTGCTGCTGCTGCTGCTGATCAATACAAGAAACAACTAATATATATAAACACACCAATAAATAACAATTAATATAATATTAAATTAATAATATTATATTTTTGTTATTTAACTGTATTTATATTTATATTTATATTTATATTTATATTTATATTTATATTTATATTTATATTTATATTTATATTTATATTTATATTTATATTTATATTTATATTTATATTTATATTTATATTTATATTTATATTTATATTTATTGTTTTTGTTTGTCTATTATGTTGATGCTTCTGCCGCTTTATTTTAATTGTTTTTCTTTCTTTTGTTTTCTTTATTTTTTATTTTTTATTTTTATTTTTATTTTTATTGGTGTTATTATTATATATTATTTATATATATTATTTATATTTATTTTTTATTTTTATTATTTATATTTATTTTTTATTTTTATTTTTTATTTTTATTAGTATTAATATAATAACAACAAAAAATATATAAAATAAATAAAATAAAAATAAATACATAGAGAGAGTCAGTGTAAGAGTATAGAGCTAAACCCTAAACCCTAAACCCTAAACCCTAAACCCTCGCTAAACCCTCATTGAAGCAAACCCTAGAAAACGATACAAAGAATATCGACAGAGTTCAACTGAAACCCTAAACACTAAACCCTAAACCCTCATTACATATATTCAGTGTTTTCCATTGAATAATTAAGGGTTCTCTTCAAGTATTTCGCACCCGTATGC